CTTTTATGATTTTTGTCCTATGGATTAAGATCCTCGGAATTATTCTGAAGGTAGCACCTTCTGAAAAATTCTAAAAGGCTGGCTTCTCAAAAACAAAAATCAATTCCTATGTCTCGGTGCTTCAAAACACCAAAAGTGGGTTGGCAATGGTGAGTGGGGAAGTAGATGTTTTATTAAATTACGCTATTTATCAATATAACAGGCATTTAAATGCAAGGAGTAAATACATACTATTCACTTCTGAAGGCACAGGATCCAAATCTCTGACCACCAATATAGGTGAGGTCCCTGTAACATCTTCTCACATGTAACATGGATCTTTCCTGCCTAACACTTAGACAATTTCTAACTTTATTTTTATTTGTTAGAGTGCCTGTATTTCCCATTGACTTACAGGATTCATAATGGCAGGGATTGTATCCTTGTTTTTTGCTCACAGAGGCTTATAGTAGACAATAAATATTTGTTGTGTGGATAAATGAATGTTTGGACCTCATCATTCTCTTAAATCTAGGATTCTATTGCACAAACCTCACGTTCAAAAAAATGAACAGCTTGAAGAGGAGGGTATTGGGTTAGGTTTGGGATCAATGAAAGATTCCTTCTTCCACTATGACATATTAAATAAGAAGTTTTGCATTTTGATGCTTTATGGCTTTCAGTGATAAATGCATTGAGAGACACCAGGCTTCATGAACCAAGATCACAGTATAGTGATCTTCATGTCCTCACTACCTGGCTTCAACAATTATCAACTCAATGGTCAATTTATTTCATCTATACTCCTGCTTCTCCCTCCCACATTATTTTTTTTTCCTTCTTCTTCCCAAAGCCCCCCCCCCCAGTACATAGTTGTATATTCTAGTTGTAGGTCCTTCTAGTTCTGCTATGTGGGATGCCACCTCAGCATGGCTTGATGAGCGGTGCTAGGACTGCATCCAGGATCCGAACAGTGAAACCCGAGGCCGCCAGAGTGGAGTGCACAAACTTAACCACTTGTCCATGGGGCTGGCCCCTCCCCCTCCCACATTATTCTGAAGCAAATCCCAGGCATATTATTTCATCTGTAAATATTTCAGTACATATTTCTAAAAAATAAGGGCTCTTTAAAATAAATAACCACATCATCACCACAATTAATAATCAGTTCTTAGTATCATCAGATACCCAGTATTCACACTTTTCAGTTATCTATAAATGACATCAGCCTTTGTTATTGTTCTTTTTCAGATTGCTGGTTTGAATAAGGATGCAAATGAGTCCACATATTACAATTGGTTGATAGGTTTCTTATGTGTCTTTCAACCTCTAGGTTTCTCCTTCAGCGCTATTTTTCCCCTTTAATTCATTTATCAAAGAAAGTAGGTCCTGCATAGTTTCTCCATAGTTTGGATTTTCCTGATTGCATCCATGCAGTGTCATTTAACATGTTCTTTACCATATTCTTTTGTTCCCTGTATTTCCTGTAATTTGATAAATTCGATTCAAAGGCTTGACTGGATTCAGGTTCTCTTTTGTTGGCAAGAATTCTTCACAGGTGCTATGTTCTTCCATCAGGATGCACATAAAGGGTGGTTGTCTCTCTTGTGATACTCACAGCCATTGATGATCAGTGCCTAGATCCACTAATCCATTAGGGGTTGCAAAAATGGTGATATTTTAACAATTCAATCATTCCTACTTCATTTTTTTTTAAACTGAAATACTTTATAAGGAGAAATTTCCCCTCATCTACTGTTTGGAAACTTGGCTTTAAATAGTGTTATTTTATCTGGGGAGGGTAACACATTAATTAACACATGAAATGATTAATTTATCACAGAAAAAGTTACAATGAATCATTTTCTTTAAGGTTGTAGAAACCCTCACCTTCAGGGAAAAGGAGAATAAAAATACAACTGAGGGAGAGGAGGTGAATGGTGATCAGAAAACTGAGATATCTGGGAAGAGAAGTAAAGAAAGAAGAAACACAGACGCTTAAAGGTAACACTTGGCTAAGTCTATTCTTATCTGGCATATAAAATCCTATTTGGAAGCCCACCTTATGGCTTTGAATACTATTTACTTACTGAAGACTCCCGCATTCTTACCTCCAGTTCAGATCTCTCCCCAGGCTTTGCACGGCAGTCAAAACCCTGCCTGACAGGGCTACTTTGATGTCTAAAAGACATCTCAAAGTTAACATATCTAAAATGGAATTTTTAGTCTCACCTCCAAATTGTGACTCATAACTTTTCTATTTCAATAAATGGCAGCACCATCCACCAGTTGAGAAAGCCAAAAGAATAGGAGTAATCTTTCACTCCTTCTTTACCCCAGCCCCCGCAACCATTCAGTCACCAAGAGCTGTTGGTTTTACCTTGAGATTATTAATGACACTACCCTAAACCAACTCACAATTGTTGAGGAAAAAAACTGTACTATTATAATAGTCTTCTGGCATGTTGGCCCCCTCTAGTCCGTTCTCCACAACGTGGGAGAGAGATTGTTGTAAAATGTTAATCAGGGATCATGAGCTGGTAATTGTTGAAGATGGGTGATAGATTCATTATACTAATTTCTTCCCCTAGGCATATGTGTGAAATTTTCCAAATTAAAAAAAACAAAGTATTATTCAGATTATTTTATCTAATTCTCCTATTGTTTTACTTCTCTGCTGACTTCTCGATGTTCTTAGAATAAAATCCAAATGTCTTGCCTAAGCCTGTGAGCCTCAGTCTTCCCTGTCTCCATGTCCAGCCTTATCTAGATGCTACTCTTCTTGCTCACTCTGCCCAGGCCATAACCCATCAGTTCTAAGAACTCTTTATCTTTCTTATCTTGGAGCATTTGTACTTGTTATTCCCTCTACCAGAAAATGCTCATCCCCTAGCTCTTTGCAAGGCTGGCTCCTTCTCTTGCTTCAGCTCTCAACAAAAATTTCACGTCCTTAGAGAGCCTTTCTTAACCACTCACTCTAAGTTAGATCCTCTTCCTTCACCATTACCCTCTATTACACTATACTATTTCATATCTTACCACAATTTATAATTATCTTGTTTGTTTATATATTCTATTCACGTTATAATTCCAATTCTTTGAAAAATTGGTAGATAGAATACAAATTTTAATAATCTTGCTTCACAAACAAAGACTTATAAACAAAATAAGATTTTGATCAGGAGAGTAACTTCTTGAAATGGAGATTTTAGGAAGACAGTGGTATGAAACATGGACTGGTGAAGGAGAAATTGGAATCAGAAATGTCTATTTAAATATACTCTCTCTTTGATTCTAAATTTTCCAACGTTTTTGAAGTGCTGGATAATTTTAAGTGACAGACGTTGTTTGATTTAAATGTCTAACCCCTGGAATCACATTCTGTATTATTAACACAATACTTCTCTCATTTTTAGGATCAATATATTTAAGTTTTATCAGCCATTAATTTCAGGCAATTCACCTTAGTGGTATGCTAAAGAAGAACCTGGCAAGTACTTTTTCAGATTCTCTCCTTTGCCAGTCATTGTCCTAATTCATGGTCATAGGATTCATCTAAATTGTGTTAGACCAAAAACAAGGCTACATAAACTAGCCTGCTAAGTCAGGGAGCAGATGGGAACTGTCAGTCATTTGAAGGATGCCATGGCAAGACAGAATTTTAGAACTGCAAGATATCTTAGAGATCATGTAATAATCCAAGGCCCTCATTTTAAAGGAAGTGGAACTGTTGTTCTAAAAGATTAACTGATTTACTCTTCCCAAACATGATTTCCTAATCTGGTAAATCAAATCTTACTTTCAGAAGACCTTGAAGGAATTATGTAGTAAATTAGTATCATATCAAGATCTGGAACACAGGACTTTTATGTCATAAATCCATTAGTTTCATTATATTAAGATAAACCTTGCTTTTTCCTCCTTTCCTGCATCTTTTGAGCCTTTAAATCTTCTCAAGTTATTTCAGTGACCTCCGCTGTTCCTGAGACAGCATCAAGATTCCAATATTTTCTTCTGTTTTTAAAAATGGTTTGATTTACCATGTCAAACTGACAGTGCATAAAGTCAATGGAATACATTTCATATTGGCACCTCCTTCAAGTCTATTACCCCAAGGTGGGTTAATAGCTGCGTATAATTTAAGTTTAGTTCAGATTCTTTTAAAAGTACTTGTGGATTTGATGGGTGTTTTGAGTAAAGAAGATTGACATCTCTTTTGTAAAATAAAGGGGTACCCAAATTGATGATGCTGTGGCAGGCTGGTCATCAGCGGCAACGCTTAAATTAAGCATTTATGGCGCCCAAGTCCATTAAAACCATTGGGCACTCTGATTCACAAAGCATTCTAGAAGCTAGATAGGATTCAGTCTCTCTTATCGAGGGACTTGCATTTCACATAGTTAAAGGGCCCAAGGCAAGGCTTTATAATCTATTTAAGAATGCTCCACATTCATTCAATAAGTCACCACAGCAGTTTTCCCAGCTGCTGACAGCCTAGCTTGCCTGTTCAGACAGTGATGGACCCTGATCATCTCTTAGTTCAGGGTTTTAAAATATGTGCATAAAACGACAAGGACGTTAAAAACACATTTAGACTCTTTCCTCTTTTCTGGCGGAACCACACCCAAACCATTCCAACCAGATGAAACTCCCTGCTGTTTTCATATACTAGCAGACGGACTCCATAACCTTTCATCATCCTTTGCCGGGCACTCGCAGTGGGCAGAACTCTGGTGGCAAGTCCATCCCTCACTGCAGAACTCTGGCATTCCAGAGTTGAAGCCCACTTCCTTCCTGGCCGCTGAAACCCAGTTAAGCATCTCGGAGCGCTGTGTCACGACCCCCAGCCGAGTGGACAGGCTCCGACTGGCCCGGCGTCCCCAACGCATCCGCGGGGCGTGGTCCGGAGGTGTAAAGTTGTCCAGAACTAAAGGCACCCTGGGCGGCAGCCGGAGGGGCGGGGTGGGCGCGCGCCGCTCTCGCGAGAGCTCGCGGATGGGGGCGGCGGGGGGCTGGGGGGGGGGGGGGGGAGCTGCGCTGCGGCCGCGGCGGCTGTTCTCCCGGGAGCGAGCGAACGGCCCTTTCCCCGCCTCCCTTTCCTTCCCCTCCCATTGACTGATTCAAGCCGAGCGCTTCCCACTTCCGCCCCCTCTGCCTGCCACTGGAACTAGCAAAGCCCAGCAAGTTGCGGCCGCCGACCAGCCGGCGCTCCCCTCCTCCTCTCCTCCTCTTCCTCTCTCCTGTCCTCTTCCCTGGCCGCCGCAGCCGCCGCCGCCCCCGAGGCCTCGTGACGCCGAGCCCGCAGCCCACGCCGCGGCCGACATGAGCTTCTTATTGTGAGTACCCAGGCCCCGCGCGCCGGCTTTGTTCAAGCGACCTGGGCCGCGGCCCCCGCCCGCCTTGGCCCGCGCTGCCCCGGCCGGGCCTTCCCTCCGAGCCGGTCTCCGGGAACCGGCCCCGAGCGCTCGCGCCGCCCGCCGCCTCCCAGGCCCGCTTCGAGCACGCGTGGAATCCTCCAGCTCCCAAGGAGGCTCCTTCCCCCGGCCCCAAGTCTGGACACACCCGCGTCTGCGTCCGCAGTTCTCCATCACCCCAGCCTTTCCCTTCGCTCTTCTCTGGGGTTTGCTGGTTTGCACGCTCTACATAGATGCCGCCCACTCTCCCGCCAGACCCGTGTCCGACGCGTGCCCGGCCGCCGGTCTCGCCTGCCCAGTGCTTTTTTCTGGGTCCCAAACACAGAAGATAGAGCGTCGTACTTTCCCCCGTCATCCCGGGACCTTTTTAACTTCCTCCTTAGGTTTTAGGAGTGGGAAGTTGGGGTGACAAGTCCTGTGCATGTAACACACTTAACTAGGCTGCTTGCGGGTTAGGATCCCCCGGTGACAGCCTGGGTCTTGGGGTGTGGAGCAGCTCCTTGCTTCCCCGAGACGCCCTTCCTCCCAGCGTGCTCCCCTGAAGAGTAAAGGCTTTATCTTTTTAGACTGCCACCAAATAGAGTCAGGGTAGTGTGCCCTGGGCTGATTAGGTCCACTGGGAGTTGTTTTGCAAATCATTTGTAAATGCCAACTTAACGTCACATTTAGTGCTGGTCATTATTTCACTTATCGTTTATTGCAGACGAGTTTGGGGGGAAGGTCAGAAAGTGGGTTGGCTAGATGGGGGTATGGAGAGAGCAGACAAGCCTCAGGTTCTCTGAAAACAGGACCTGACACCCCGGGGAATTCCTCCTTTGAAGGCTTCGTTGTGATTCACCTGTTTAATCTGTGGTTAGCAAGCCAATAAAAACTCGAAGATTGAAATTCACCCGATACACTCCTTTACTGCTGTGAAGAAAATAGCATTTAAAGATTATTTTCTGTTCCGATTCTCTTCTTTTCCCACCTCCTATAATTTTTAGTTATCAGGTTGGCACGCGACTGCTGAGAATTTAATTAACCCTTATTTTCACTTGTTCATATATGGAATATTAATCCTTTTTAGGATGTTTAAGCAAAACTGAATGGTCGCAGAAGGCTAACTGGCAGGCAGACTTGCTAATATTTCTGATTTGTACAGGGGGCCTGGCTTGTGTCAATCTGCTTAACACGTTGGAGCTTGTGAAACCTCTTTCTTAGGCTCATCCCACAGGTTGAGTCTGAGTTTGTCAGATAGGTGGTGCGAGATGAGAGGACTGGATGACTTCGGGAAATGTCTTTGTTTCCCATTTTAGTTTGAATCAACATATCCTTGCATCTCAGCTTGAATCTTCTCATCTTGAGTGTATTTTACATTGCTGATGTTTGAGTTCTTGAAGAATTTAAAAGCTGTCTTTGAAATAGCAATGTAGATGATGTTCATGACTGATGCTGATGGGCTTGTCTCTTGAAACATAGTTGAATTGGTTGAAGCAGGAAAGAACCATATTTGGATGAAATTAGGAGGTGGAGAAGGTTTTGGTGGTATTTTTGAAAACAAATACAATAGTATCCTGTTTTTACGTGGCTGCATATTTAATAGTTGTAGAAATGCAGTGGATAAGTTCTTATTAGCGTATTACGAAGCGTATTAGCTACATAAGAAAAATCTTGCCATAACTAATGTGTGTAGCACGTTAGAGGGTATATACTATTTGGAGCACAATGTTCCAGTTAGATCACATAACAGTTAATATAGTCTCAAAATATTTAGCCCATGTGCTTGACAATCCAAAAAAGGGAGTCCAGCATTCTTGGTTTTGGTTTTTGCCCACCAGTAGTTTAAAATCTGAAGTGAAGACCTTATAGGTAGAAATAGTTATTATCAGAAGTGAAAGAACAAAGTTTTGGTTATTTCATCAGTTTGTTATTTGGTGTATTTGACTCTTTGGTGTATTTGGACTATTTGGTTACTAATTTGGTTATTTGAGTATTATTTCTGTACCAACAGGTGGAGCAGAGAAAATAAGAGTTGCAGTTTAGGAGTTGATTACAACTATTTTCCTCCACTTCTTGGAGGTTTACTTGTAAGGCTACTGTAAGTGGACGGAGTTGAGGAAATAAGGGCAATGTGAGATAGGGATATAAAGCTGATGACTCATAACTTTTGAGGGCTTTAAGATAGAAGGAAAGCATTATTGATTTAAAAAAACTATTCATTGTGCTAGGCACTGATGTAAGCATTGAGTATAATTTATGAACAAAACAGACAAAAATTCCTGCATTAGTGGAGCTTATGTTGTGTTAACTGAGAATAAACGCTGAACATCAGTAAATTATATATTATGGCAGGAGGTTGTAAGTGCCATGGAACCAAGTAGAGCAGGGTAAAGAGATTTTTGGATAGGGAAGTGGCGTAGATTAGGTAATCCCCAGAGGGTGCCCTGATAGTCTGGAGCAGTGATACCTCTGTGTAGCTTTTGTACAAGTGCTCAGAATAAATTTGCACTGCGTGTGTGGATCTGACTGGGAGTAAGCTTTGGTTGTGCTGCAGACTGGCCTCTGTATATCTTCAGTTTAAGCTGAGCTCCCAGATGGTGCATACGGAAACTTCTCAGGAACCTAATTTAACTTTGTAGACTCAAATCTTTAAACACATCCTCAGCACCTGCTGTGTGCTAGGCATTGTGCAAGATGTGGGATGCCAGAGATAGACAGTTTATAAATAGTCATCTGTAATAGATGCAATACAATCATGGGAGTCTAAAGAATATGGAGCAGCTTGTTCTCTTTGGGCTGGAGGAAGGTTTCATAAAAGAATTGAAGGCTATTTAATAAAAGATGTAACAAGAGTACTCTAAAAGCGTCAGAGGAAACATGGAGGATGAAATTGCCTGTGAATTGTCCGTTTTCAGGTTTGTCCAAGAAATTGTAGAATTTTGGAGCTAGATGGATCTATTGGTAACATAGCTTACTCGCCTCTTTTTGTTAAAGTGGCAGAATCACTAGCTTTAGGTTACTGGCCTAGCTGTTGGCGTGGGTAGAATTGGAACACAGGTCTCTTAATTTAGGATTTTTCCTCTCTTGACTTTCTTTTTTTCATAAGGAAGATTGCCCCTGAGCTAACATCTGTTGCCAATCTTTCCTGTTTTTGTTTGAGGAAGATTGTTGCTGAGCCAGTGTGTGTGCCAGTTTTCCTCTATTTTATATGTGGGACGCTACCATAGTGTGGCTTAATGAGCGGTGTGTAGGTCCCTGCCTAGGATCTGAAGCCATGAGCTCCTGGCTGCCGAAGCAGAGTGGGTGAACTTAATCACTATGCCACCAGACCAGCCCCTCTCTTGACATTTTATGCATATAAAATTCAGGGAAATTTAGGATCAGAGTGAGTTCTTAATCACTCTAAAAGTGTATTGAGTGTTCTCTCTGTTTCTAGCATTTTTAAATTGCAAGTCTCTTCTGACTGATGGAATTCTACAGAAGGCTTTGACTTGGAAAAGACTAATGTGTAATTTCCTAATATAAGGCTAATTGGTTGGAACAAAGTTAAAACAAATGTAGTTAACTTTAAAATGGAAGTCTCTGGGTTGGCCCGGTGGCACAGTGGTTAAGTGCGCACGTTCCACTTCACCGGCTCAGGGTTTGCTGGTTTGGATCCCAGTTGCAGACATCGCACTGCTTGGCAAGCCATGCTGGGGTAGGCATCCCACATATGAAGTAGAGGAGGATGGGCATGGATGTTAGCCCAGGGCTAGTCTTCCTCAGCCAAAAGAGGAGGATTGGCAGCAGATGTTAGCTCAGGGCTAATCTTCCTCAAAAAAAAAAAAGCTTTAAAAAAAAAATAAAATGGAAGTCCATAGGAAAGGTGGTTTAAGGAAGTGAATGACTATAATCAGATCTATTTCTGTAGAGGAAGAATCAAAGAAGTTGGGAAAGGAAGGAACAAAGGAAGGAAATATTTATTGAGCATTATGCTAGATACCTTCCAATTGTCTTCTCAAAAGAATAACAATTTAGGAAAGGAGACCCAGGGTTTTAGCTGTGTTGATACGTATCTCTCTCTCTCTCCTACCTCTCCTTTCTCTCCTTCCTCTCACCTACCCCCATCCCAGCATCTTTGTATTCAGACAAATGATTTAACTGATTTTAGTGCTTCAGCACCCTCACCTGTAAAAGAAGTTAATGATAATAATAATAAAAATAAAAAGAGGGCTGGCCCTGTGGCCAAGTTGTTAACTTCTTGTGGTCCACTTTGGTGGCCCAGGGTTTCACCAGTTTGGATCCTTGCTGCAGACCCAGCACTGCTCATCAAGTCACGCTGAGGTGGTATCCCACATAGCAGAGCCAGAAGGACCTACAACTAGAATATACAACTATGCACTGGGGGGCTTTGGGGAGAAGAAGAAGAAAAAAAGAAGATTGGCAACAGATGTTAGCTCAGGTGCCAATCTTTAAAAAATGAAAAAAAGTGATACTAAAAATAGCTTGCTGAGGGGCTAGCCCAGTGGTGGCGTCCTGGTTAAGTTCATGTGCTCTGCTTTAGCAGCCCAGGGTTCATAAGTTCAGATGCCAGGAGAGGACTGAGCACCACTTGTTAAGCCATGCTGTGGTGGCATCTCACATAAAATAGAGGAAGGAAGATTGGCACAGATATTGGCTGAGCAACAATCTTCCTCACCAAAAAAAAAAAAAGCTTGCTAAGTGGTTATGATGTGCCAGGCATTAACTGCTTTAATTAATTAAATAATTAACTCAGTTCAGTAACTAGCAGGAGCCCTATTTTACAGGTAAAGAAACTGGCAAAAAGAGGTTAAATAATTTGCTTGAAATCATGTAGCCAGTCAGCGGTGTAGCTAGGGTTTGAATCCTGGCAGTCTAGATTCAGAAATCCTGGCTCATACTGCCTTATCTATAATTAGTAAAATTACGTTAAAATGTGGTAT